ACTAAACTGTCTTCCAAAGTGGTTGTTCCATCAAAGCTCCACCTGTTCTACATTTTTGCTAACACTTGTATGACCATTGAAAAAATTTTAGCCATTCCAATGGGTATGTATGGTACCTCATTATGGTTTGAATTTGCATTTCTTTAATGACTAATTATATTGAACATCTTTTCATGTTCTTACTTTCCATCTATCTTCTTTGTTGAAGTGTTGGTTCAAATCTCTAGCTCATTTGAAAAATTGGTTGCTTTCTTTTGTTGGATTTTTACAGTTTCTTATATATTCAGGACATGAGACCTTTACCAGAGATGTGCTCTGCAAAGAGTCTCTTCAAGTGTGTGGATTTTCTTTTCATTCTCTTAGCAGTGTCTTTCAAAGAGAAAAATTTTTAGTTTTGATGAAGTCCAATGTATCATTTTTTTTTTCTTATATGGATTGTACTTTTGGTGCCATAGCTGAGAAATTTTTACCTGAGACTCAAGTTCACACAAATTTTTCTTCTATTTTGAAAGAAATTTTATAGTTTTAGGTTTTACATTTAGCTCTATGATCTCTTTTGAATTAATTTTTGTATGTAGTAAAATGTGTAGATTGAAGTTTATTTCTATTTATTTATTTATTTATTTTTTGAGACAGAGTTTCGCTCTTGTTACCCAGGCTGGAGTGCAATGGCGCGATCTCGGCTCACCGCAACCTCCGCCTCCTGGGTTCAAGCAATTCTCCTGCCTCAGCCTCCCGAGTAGCTGGGACTACAGGCGTGTGCCACCATGCCCAGCTAATTTTTGTATTTTTAGTAGAGACGGGCTTTCACCGTGTTGACCAGGATGGTCTCGATCTCTTGACCTTGCGATCCACCTGCCTCGGCCTCCCAAAGTGCTGGGATTACAAGCGTGAGCCACCGCGCCTGGCTTATTTATTTTTAACTTTAATCTTTTTATCTTTGGACAGCCTCCTAAGCCAGAGCATGCTCAGAGAGACTCCTTTATTTTTATTTTTTAATATGATATCCAATAATCTCAGCACCATTTGTTGAAAAGCTATCCTTTCTCTACTAAGTTGCCTTTGCACTTTTGTCAAAAATCAGCTCTCATTATATGTGTGGGTCATTAGTTATTTTTTTTTTAAAGAAGACATGACCATCTCATAAACTTAACGAGCCATATCCGTTGTTCATTATAAAGATATGAGTGATGCTTCATAGCCTTGGATCCTTTCTTGACATTTATGGTTGAGTCTAGTTCACAACTTGGACGAGGCACTGACCTCAGATCAGGAAAGAATTATTCCTATAAGGCCAGAGAAATTTTTTTGGGTAGAGTTAATATTTGTTTGTCATTTATAATCAGATGGCAGTTGGGTATATAGTCTCCATACTTCATATTTTTTGTAAATAAAAAAAAACCTACAAGTTTTAAATAGGTAATGGCTCATAATGTTTTCAGAAAACATGTTTAGACCAATTTATTAATCGTGGCTTCAAGTTTTTCCTTATTAGCTCCAAAAACTGGAGCCCAGCCACCTTTCATTCCTTTTTAAAATGCTGGAAGATAGAGTGCATTTCTTCATACTCTGATGCAAACATCCTGACAGTCATCCACATCTGCTTTGAGGACTACTATGCTGGAATTCTTTTCAGCGAGGGAATGAAAGAAGGGCTTGATCATTTTGCAAGGCCCACATCATGTGGCTGAGAAGTCAACTACTACAAGTCTATCCCCTGCAGCAGCCACGCCTTCCTGCAAACCAGACTTGCTCTTCTGCTTCACCATTTTGGCTGTTGGGGTCTGATGACTGACTGTAAGAACTGATGAAAATGGATCCAAAGTGCTGGACCAAGCTTTGGCCAGAGGACCTTTGTCTTTTGGATTGTTCTCTAAACCCTGATGTTGAGAATAACATCATTTTCTAAAAGAAAGGACAGACTAGTATATCTGTTCTCTGGTTGACTAGTCTGTTCCCCTGATTGTCCTTAATGTCACATCTGGCTTTCCACCGGGTTCCGCCTATCTTTCTTCTTTTCTCCCCTAAACTAAAGCTTTAATGACTTTAGTTAATCTGGTCCCTGTTCTGAAGTATCTGAAATATGAGCCTCTTAGACCAAGGATAGGCAGTTTAATTTTATCAAAGACCACGGGCTTGGTGGGGAAGAAATCAGGCAAAGGTCACTTAATAAGCCACCTTAATTGAAGTGGTTTGGTCTCCTTAGGGAAATGTAAAATATTCAATTCAGCAGCTTAAAAATGTTTTTATTGAGATATAACTCACATATCATAAAATTTACCCTTTAAAATTGCACATTTCAGTGGTTTTTATTATATTCGCAAAGTTGTGAAACCATCATCACTATCTAATACCATCTTAAAATAAACCTTATAGCCATCAAGCAGTCACTTTCCATGTTTCCCTCCTCCCAGCCCCAGGCAACCACTAATCTACTGTCTGTCTCTATGGATTTGCCTATTCTGGACATTTAGCATAAGTGGCATCATACAATATGTGGCCTTTAATATCTGACTTGTTTTCTTTTTCTTTTTCTTTTTCTTTTTTTTTTTTTTTTTTTGAGATGGAGTCTTGCTGTTTAGCCCAGGCTGGAGTGCAATGGCATGATCTCAGCTCACTGCAACCTCTACCTCCCAGGTTCGAGCAATTCTCCTGCCTCATCTTCCTGAGTAGCTGGGATTACAGGTGTGCACTGCCACACCTGGCTAATTTTCTATTTTTAGTAGAGACGGGGTTTCACCATGTTGGTCAGGCTGGTCTTGAACTCCCAACCTCAGGTGATCTGCTCGCCTCAGCCTCCCAAAGTGCTGGGATTACTGGAGTGTGCCACGGCACTCAGCCTGTCTGACTTCTTTATTTAGCATAATGATTTCAAGGCTCATCCTTGTTGTGGCATGTATCAGTACTTCATTCTTCTTTGTGGCTGAATAATATCCCATTGTACGGATGTATTTCATTTGGTTTATCCATTCATCAATTGATGGACATCTGGGTTCTTTCTACTTTTTGGAAATTACGAATGATGCTTCTGTGAACATTTGAGTATGAGTTTTTACGTGAACACATGTTTTCAATTCTCTTGGCTGTATACCTAGGAGTAAAATTGTTGGGTCATATGGTAATTCTTTATTTACCTTTTTGAGGAACTGCCAAATTGTTTCCCAAGGCAGCCATACTATTTTGCAGTTTTACCAACAATACATGAGAGTTCCAATTTCTCAGCTTTCTTTTCAACACTTGTTATTGTCCATTTGAAAAATTGTAGCCGTGCTGGTGGATATGAAGTGATGTGTCATTCTGGTTTTGATTTGCATCACCCTAATGACGAATGCTGTTGAACATCTTTCCATGCATATGTTGGCTATTTGTGTCTTTTACTTGGAAAAATGTTTATTCAAATTCTTTGCCCATTTTTAGTTGGGTTGTCTTTCTACTTTCTTTGTTATTATTATTATTTTAGAGATGGAGTCTTGCTATGTTGCCCAGGCTGGCCCTGAACTCGTGGGCTCCAGTGATCCTTCTGACAAAGCCTCCTGAGTAGCTGAGATTATGGGTGCTGGCCTATTTTTTCGCTTTCTTGATGGTGTACTTTGAAGCACAAAATTTTTGGTTTTGATCCCATTTATATATATTTTTCTTTTGTTGCTTATGACCATCTGCTTTTTAAATTAAACTCAGAAATCATAAAGCTTTTTTGTTAAGCACAACAAATAAAACTACATATCTTAATTCCATGTTGCAGCAATTTAAGGGGGTGGAATTGATATGTGGGGAAGGGAGAAAGTGGGGGTAGACTCTCTACGCAGACTTTAGACCTCAAAGGATGAATGTTAGAGACTGCCTTTGGGCACTGAGCACCTAATAGTCAAGGATAACTAACTCTTTGGGAACTGCCCTAATCACTCAACCTTTAGTAGCTTTCTTCTGGAAGGGGTGAAGCCCCTGCTTTCAAGAGGGAGCTCACTATCTGCACTGCAGCAATGTTACTTAAGGACGGTGAAAATGAGGATAGTGTCAGAAAAAGGGAAAGCTTTGCAGTCAGGCTGTTGGGAGTCTCCACTGGGTTATCTGGAACTAGATGCTGCAAGAGAGGTGAGTGCAAAGGGAGGATCACCCGTGCGTGGAAAAGGGAGGAAGCAGTTTGGCTAGGAGGAGCTCTTGGCCCTTGCTGCAGACCTGACGAAGCCTCTGCCAGCCTAACAGGGTACTCCAAGCAAAAATCGCTTGTTAGAGGAGTTCCACATTGGCAGAAGAGGGATGGGCCCTTGAACTACCACCTTGCTCAGCCATTGGCTGGTGGCTGCCTTAAGAAGAGAGTGATTGTGGGACCCGGCGCGGCGGCTCACGCCTGTCATCCTAGCACTTTGGGAGGCCGAGGCGCACAGATCACCTGGAGTCGGGAGTTCGAGACCAGCCTGACCAACATGGAGAAACCCCATCCCTACTAAAAATACAAAAAACATTAACCTGGTGTGGTGGCGCATGCCTGTAATCCCAGCTACTCGGGCTCGGGGAGTAGCTTGAGTAGCTGGGATTTCGCATGCACCACCTGTAAGGCGGGAGAATGGCTCGAACCCCGGAGGTGGAGGTTGCGTGAGTGGAGATCGCGCCATTGCACTCTAGCCTGGGCAACAAAAACGAAACTCTGTCTCAAAATAAAAAATAAATAAATATATATTTTTTTTTAAAAGGAAGAGAGTGACTGTGGCTCAAAAACTGAGGTGGTCCCTGAAGGAACCAATTGCTGGGGCCAAATAAAACCAACATTCTTGGTAGCAGGGGAGTGAGTCCTTTAGTGAAGGGGCCATGTGAGCATGGAATCTCCGGGTCTACCACACGGACAAGCATGAAGTTCAAATTCCAACATGTGACCTCAGGCAACCACTCTGCCTCAGTTTTTTCATCTGTGAAATGGAGAAAATGCTTTCTTTACAGGGTCGTGGGGGGATTAAATAAGACAAGAATGAACATAGTGCCTGATTCAGTGCAGGCATTCAATAAGTATTAGTTCTTCCCTTTCCCCCAGATGGAAATAAGCCAAAGGAACATTCTGTTCTGCAAACCAGTTCCCACCCTGCTCTTTATAAACTTCGTTTTCTTTCAATTTCCAGTAGGGAACCAAGCCCCTACTGGAAATTTTCCTGATCTGAATATACTGCCACGGTGTCCCAGGGCCTGTGTTGTCCCCTGACTTGTTCATCTCCCGACTTTCTCAGCTGGAGACAGAAAGCTCTCAGTGGACCCAGGCAGAGTCCACTGGCTGATGTCAGGGTGAAATGAGGCTGATGCTTCCTGGAATCCACCAGAAGTATGCAAATCGCACCATCTCTTTCAGCTGCCTGCGCCTGCATTCCATCGAGGATTCCTGGTAGAAGAAAGCATCCTGTTCCTCTTTCTAAGTGCCTCGTTAAAGCCTGAGGACAAATCCCTCCTGCTTCGCTTGCCCTGGGAGGTGAGACAGGACCCTAATGGGAAGAGGAGGATGTGCTCTGCGCACGACGTCATCCTTCACGGGGTACTCTGACTATGGGGACACTGATCTCCAAGTCCTGGGTACTTCCTGTGTGCCCGATTCATTGGGGAGTCTCAACTCATCGGGGTGTAAACATGAAACTATTTTATTTCTTCCAGTAACTGCCCTGCCTGTGTTGTGCCAGATCTCTCTTTCCTGCTGAGGAGCCGCTCCCTTAACGATGTCTTGGTCTGGTTCCATAACTTTTCAGCCACTTTCGGTTACTATAACAGTCTCATTCCAGTAATTAAGACTCAGCCTCTTATATTTTTAAAACTTTCATCGCAAATTCAATTCAGAGCTCTTCTCTCCCTTTCCCTCCAGCGAAAGCTAGAGTTGGGTCCTGGCTGTTTGAAGCAGTGGAGCGGAGGTAGGGCCTGGCTTGAAGATGCCTCATCTCCCTCTTCGAGGCCTCAGCATCTCTATTTGGGCAGAGAGGAGGGATGGAGAGTAAAAGGCTTCTTTACAGGAGTGTCCTTTACCCCTTCCTAGTTCTTTGTGGCTCTGTTAGATGCTGAAGATCTCACCCAGCCCTTCCCCATCACTGAAAACCACCCTTTCCCCCTCCTCCCCTCACACAGACGCACCTGCCTTTATCCTCAACAGTGGTACAGGAGCCCAACAACCCTTTGTTGACTTGGCCATGGGTACCTGGGCAAACCCTCAGCTCTGCCCTTCCACTGACTTCTGTGCATTTCCACGTGGAGCCGCAGGCCCCGCAGGAATCCTTTCCCATAATCCTTCAAGGGCCCCACAGTCCTGGGAAGGGAGCGCTGCCCCCATCTTCTTCCCAGTCATGCTGCACCAGGGTCCTTCGAGCCCTGCTGGATGGGCTACTATAGTGGGCCTCCGGCTTTCAGAATCTCCCGGACTCAGGTGGGTACCGGTCTCTACATTCAAATGCAGTCCCAGCCCTCAAAGTACCTTCATCAGGTATCCTGCTTTTCCTTCCCACCATGGGGGAGGGGAACAACAAAGGCCCTGGGCTGCAGTCCTAGGCTCCCAGGGTGGCAAGGACTCTGACAGTGATCTGTGCCTCTGAGGCATCGGGGAGGGTCTGGATTCCCTCTCCCTTCACACTGGGGCAGGAAAGCACCCCTGTAGTCTTCACAGGGGTGAGGAGGGTAACTCTCTATGGTCTCTCTCAGTCCTGCTCCTGACTGGAGGTGGCTGGGTGCCGGTCCCTTTAGAGGGTGCTGATGCCTTGAGCAGCAGTGTTTGGAGGTGGCTGGCTCCATCTGCTGGCGACTTGCTGGTAATTCTGTGGGATTCCTTGGCTCCTCTTGGCTGCGGGTCTAGCGTCATGAGAAGACACGGGAGGACGTGCCTAGCTGCAGGCAGTGCTATCCTCTCTTCTAATTTGTGTTGGAGTTGTCTTTCCTCCTGGAAGGATTTCTTGATTAAATCCCACCATTGGACATGCTCCTTCATTGCACACCCTCAGCACCCAGGCTCTCAATTGGTGGTAAGTTCAGGTGCCGGCAAGTGAAATGTCTCTTGAATAGTTTTCACGTGTTTTGAGGCTAGCTAGTGTTTATGGAGCTCTTCCATGTGCCATCTACTGTCCCAAGCACGTCACGTACTTCATCTCATCTCCTCACACCGCAGTCCAATGAGCTAGGTACCGTCCCTGTCCCCATTTTACAGATGAGAAGACTAAACCGAGATAGAAATATTAAATAGCATCTCTAAGGTTTGTGGTCAGAAAGTGATGCAAAGAGGGACTCTGAACTCAGAGGCTCCACCCTCTACTGACATTCCGTTCTGCCTACTTGGCTTCATATTGTGATCCCTCTGCCTCCTCACTTCTCCTCGTCCCTTATCCCGAAAGCCTTAAATAAGTATATGTGGATCACAGTGAAGTACTCCTCATAATATATTTTTTTGTTTAGACTAATAGAATCTTCCCGGTTGGGGCTTGTGCAAGAGCTAAATTAGCCATGGTGAGATTGTGGTCAGCTTATAAACGGGCCAAACAGTGTGGCCATGTTGAAGTCATTAGCACAGACCCTTTGGACAAAAGGACAAATTCTGCTCTAACATTTTAGATTATTTTTTCCCAAGGAGGCCTAGAATCCTGAGCATATACTCCTGAGAAATGCTTTTAATCTGAAAAATGAGAATCTGTATTGTTCGTATAGTACATTTACTTTCATTGTCTCCTAGATATATTTTCAGCCACTCTGAGCAGAAGGTGTTATTATCACTCCTGTTTTATGGGCGAGGAAACAGAGGCACGGAGGTTAGCAACCTGTCTGAGGTTACACAGCTTGTATGTGCTGGAACTGGGGTCCAGACCCAGATCTTTTGCCTCCACCTGCCATTCGCCAAGAGCCTCAGGCGCCTGACTCCTTGCTGTGGGCTCTGTTCCCCAGTGGGCATTTCCTTTCTTGCTTTTAGCCATGTCCACGGCCCTTAGTCCCGTTTCTTCTTCTGGCCTCTGTCCACTGGTTTCACCCACATCCTCTTCATCTCTCTCAAGGGCTAGTAGCGCCCCTTGGAGTAGGGGGACCGGATCTTGAAGCCTTCTCACTACCGTCCCCAAGGCCCTGAAGGGGCTGTTCATTGCCTTTATCAGCTCTAGTCGTGACGGTGTTATTTATTGTCACATAAATGTATTTCCAAATAAAACAGAAAACGAACAAATAAACACAGTGACAGAGCTGTAAAAAACCCTGCCGGCTCGCTCACTTGTGGAAAAGCCTGCACAACTAATTAACCCGGGTAGGCCTCCGTGGTGTTTGGAAACAAGCTTGGAATTAATATCGCCGTTCTCAGCTGCTGGAACCAGGCTTTAAATCTTTATTGGGTAGTAGCAAGAGACAGACACAGAGAGTTACAGAGACAGCGAGAGGCCAAGATGGAAGGACATAGAGTGACAGAGGAAGATAAACGCAGCTAGCCATCTGCCTCCATACCTATCCATATCACCTTAGCTACACTCTGGATCCTAGGCAGACAGACAGAGAGACAGACAGATTGTGTTTCCTAGGAGTCAGAGATAGGAGAAAATAGAGGCTTTGTTGAGTTCAGAGTACATTTTGCTTCCATATCATTGAAGTCAGAGAATCAGAGGCTACTGGACTGGAAGGGGCTGGTGAGAGGTCATCTAATTCAGTGGTTTAAAAATTATTTTTAGCAGCAAAACCTTTTCCTGAAATGAAATCATACATGGAAATGCCATGTATAAAGCAGATGAAAGTGGAGCTTGCCCCAGTTGGAGCTTGCTGCTCCCCTAAGCTCCTCCCTTCTCCCCCCACTGGGCAGGCCCTGTGTCTTCTGGGTCTTCAGGGCTCAGAAGAGCACAGCTGGAAAATTAAAGCTGCCTGGCCTCTGGTGGCAAGCCTTTGGGAGTGTTCCTCGTTCTTCTTTGGATTCAGGCTTAGCTCAATTAGAGAGTCCCCTAGAAAGGGGGTATGGTAGAGTGGATATGCCAGCTGGTAAAAGAGGTGGGTTACCCAAGAACACCTGAACTGAACCTGTTGCCTTGAACCTGTTGGGTTCTTGTACTTTGGTATTCAGTTTCCCTGGGGATCTTTGTTGTCAGGAGCTGAGGAACTGGCTTGTTGACCTTGAAGTAAGGATGGCATCTCAGCTGGCCAGCTTCAAGAGTAAGCACCTGACCCGGGCTTTGCCTGGAGGAGGCTTTGCATAGCTCCACATCAAGTTCAGGAGGGGAGGCCAAGAGTGCAGGAAGAACGTCTCCCTTCTCTTTAAGTGTAGAAGGTGGCCAGGAGGGACTTCCCTGTAGACCATTCAGATATGCTCTACAGGGATGACTGGTGAGCTACAGGGAAATTGTACTTTGTACCTTTTCTCTTGTAGAGGAAGGAGGGACAGTGGCTGAGGCTGGAAAATCCTCCCACTGAGTGGCACTGTGGGGATTTGTCTGGTCTCTGCTTCTGGAAGCCCTGTTCTCAGCATCAAGAACAAAACCCTGAGGCTGGATGGAAAGGCCCCTCTCTCCGAGTCAGTGCTGGATGGGGAAGGGCAGTGGAGGCAGATCAGGCACTGTGTTAGGAGCCTTCCTGTTTCCGATTAACCCTGAGTGTCCTTGGCTAAGGCCTAGACAACAAGGGAGCACAGCAAGAGGAGAAACACAAATCAAGAAGTAATGCTTTTTTTTTGAAGGAGAAATTATAAATTGCAATTTAATCACATAATCACTTTGACACTCTCAAGCAAGCTAATTTCTTCCCTTGCCTCATTTCATCCACTCGGTGAGATGAATCTTAATGAATAATGTCCTATGAATATTTAATTTTTGATCAATTTGAATTTTCTCTGGCATACCTGCTGGATACATAAATCAGCTCCTTTCTGCCCAGCAGAGTGAACTTGGACAGCAGCCTGAGTAGATCTCTGCCCATGGCCACAGAAGATGCCAGCCTGAAGTTTTTGATGTTCTTGTTCGCCACCATCTCAACATCGTGACTTGGACCTCCCTTGGTGCCGTCCCTAAGCTGTGTTTTCTAATACTGCTCCACCAGCAGAAGCCTGAAACGAGTGGTTGTCTGGGCAGATAAGATGCATCTGAAACTGACTTTCCCACAGGTGCCCCCTTTTCCTCCATCCTTTTCCTTCAATGACTTAAAGAAGCCTCCTTTCTGACACTGACTTTATCTTTCCTGGCCCCTGGGAACAACTGCTATGGTTCAAAAGATGAAAACAACCATTCTCAGTTGCTTGAGAAGGCCTCTTTTATGAGATAATACTTGATGTTTGTAAAGTGTGTTACAGTTTGCAAAGTGACTTCACATACATCTTTTCTTTTCATGTCTTAATACATCACTGTGTTTGATCTTTCTTTCCTGACTGTGAGGTGAGGAAATGAGGCTTGGTAAGTTCTTTCTTAACCTGGGTCAAGAAGGTTTAGTACTGGAACTTACATGCTTGAAAAATGGCTAAGGTCTAAGCTGGGAAAATGGGTCCAAACTGAGCTGTCTATAAAGAAGGATTTAGTAGCCAGGACTCCGTCTGGAGGAAGGAGGATATCCTTAATAGGCAAGTTGGAGGTGACCTCAATGAAGAATTGATGACAATAATGGTACTTTTTGAGAAAATACTCCAATTGCTTAAGGCAGTTAGATAACATGTTTAAAATGTATTTTGGATATGTATTCATATCCTGTACACTTTGTTTTCCTGAGGTTCTCCACCTATGAAAGCAATAGGTTTTAGTGGTTTAGGAAGGGCAGGAACCACCTCAAACAAGAGGTCATTGTTCAGTTTAAATCTAGAGCCAAGTTCCTGTTTTTGAATCCATCAAGAGAAAACAATCTTGGAAGTAAGATTTTGTGTAGAAAGCAAATAAATTCCTAAATTCATCAGCCTCCTAATAATATGATCATAGAATTTCCCGTAAACAATAGAGATTCAGCTGGGCACAGTGGCTCACGCCTGTAACCCAAGTACTTTGGAAGCCAAGGCAGGCGGATCACCTGAGGTCGGGAGTTCAAGACCAGCCTGACCAACATGGTGAAACCCCATCTTAAAAAAAAAAAATAAATAAAATTAAAAAAAGAGAGAAAATCATTTTTTTATTAAAACAAAACAAAACAAAACAAAACAAGACAATAGAGATAATTCAGACTACAGTACAATGGAAGTCACTTGGGAAGCTCACCCCTTCTCACCTGAGGGGTTTGGAGGAAGAAAGGAGAGGTGGAGGAAGGACGATGGAGTCGGAGTGCAGTGTCCTCGCTTTTATTCCCGTAGGCCAAATCACTGGATACAGCAGAAACATTCAGATAGATATGAAGGAAACTAAGAACATGGGGGTTAATGTCTCCAGTCTTGCATTCCCTCAACATGGCACAGGAGCTAAAGGGAAGGAAGATGGGTAATTAGATGAGACTGGGCCAGTGCTCCTGTTCTCCATGGCCTGGGAATGTTGTGCCTTGGAACCTAGGGTTCTAATGTGCTTTGGTTGGGGTGCTGGGAGAGCTTGTAGTCCAGCAGAGGCCTGGGGATGGAACAAAGTGTTCACTGAACAGGGGACTTTGCAACTGGAGAGAAAGGATCAAAACTGTGGTTTTTAGTGGTGGGAGCTCGTGCATCAACCTAACAAGTCAGGCTCAGTTATGAGAGTCTAGGAGACAGACTAGATGAATAGCCCAGGTAGAGGTCAGCTTGGACTAGAGGTGCGTTCCCTCCCATTACCGTAAGGTGAAGTAGGATCCATGACGTACCTGCTACCGTTAAGGAAGAGTCAGGTTGGTGGTGGAGTGTCTAGGGAGGAAATTCGGAAGTCTGAACATCTACCCTGGAGAAAATGAACCATCTGAAAATATGTTTACGTCAGTGCTAGTAACTTTCAAGCTTAACTTCTTAAGTCAAATTTTTGAGAACACAGAATTTGAGATAAAGATCTATGCTAAAGCTTTACTGAATGGTGCAAGTCTAGGGCAGCAAAGATAAGGGAAAAAGCAAAAGTGAGACAGAGAAAGAGAGAAGTAAGCCATCGTCTCACAAAAAACCCATTTGGTTTCAGACACCTGGGACTTCCTCCAGATGGGCCATGGGAGATCATCATACCTCAAAGTAGTCTGTGTGGGGAGGGGTGATTTGAATTTATCTGTTGCATTCTCCTCTCTCTTGTCTTTCAATGATCACCATTTGCCACGTGGTATATTAACTTTACTACACTGTGAAGTCATGTTACCTCTTCCCTCTGGTAGGATTCTGAGGAAGTTAGAGATCCAATGCTCAAGCCATAGTCCTTTACGACAGTTTTAAAATATGTCCACAAATGCTTTCATACTCCTCTCTTTAAGAGGTGGAGCCTAATTCCCCTCTACCTGAGTGTGGGCTGGTCTTAGAGACTTGCTTCTAACAAACAGAATAAAGTGAATGTGGCATTGTGTGATTGCAGAGATTAGGTCATAAAAGGCACTGTACCTTCTTTCTTACTCTTAAACAAAAACAATTGACCCTTGAACAACATGGGGGTTAGGGGTACCAACTCCTGCAGAGGCAAAAATGCATGTATAATTTTGATTCTCCCCAAAACTTGACTACTAATAGCCTCCTATTAATCAGAAGCCCTACAGCTAGTATAAACAGTTGATTAACACATATTTTGTATGTTATATGTAAGAAAATTATGAGAAAGAGAAAATATATTTACTCTTAATTAAGTGGAAGTATATCATTATAAAGGTCTTCATCCTTGTCATCTTCACCTTGAGTGGGCTGAGGAGGAGGAGGAAGAGGAGGGATTGGTCTTGCTGTCTGAGGTGTGGCAGAGGCAGAAGAAAGTCTGCATGTAAGTGTATCCTCTTAGTTCAAACCCCTGCTGTTTAAGGGTCAGCTGGCCTTGCTTTGGGAGAAGCCAGCTTCCAGTGTGAGCATACTCAAGCAGCGCAGAGAGGCCTGCATGGGGAGGATCTAAAGCCTCCTGCCAGCAGCCATGAGAGCGAGGTATTTTGGCAGTGGATCTTTCAGGCTCTGTCAAGCCTTCAGATGATTGCAATTCTTTTCAATGCTGACAACCATTTCATGAGAGACCCTCAGCCAGAAGCATCTTGCTAAGCCACTCCCAGATTCTTGACCCACTCAATCTGTGAGATAATGTTTATTGCTTAAACCACAAGTTTTGAACTAATTTGTTAGAAAGCAATAGGTAATAATACACCCTTTATCTGAGCCTGGGAGTGGTGAGAGGAACTGGGTCTTTGTAAAACCTGTTGAGTCAGACCTGAGCACTAGAGCCTTGTCTTCTGCCATGGCAGACACAAGAGTACCCACTGAAGCCCTCACCACAGAGAAGGCTGAGATAGATATTGTGTCAGTAGATGAGGCTGTGGCGGTAGTTGCCGGGACTATCCATCGAGTATGTGGTTGAGGGGAGAGGCAAGTGGAGCAAATCTGGTCAGACCCATACAATGTGTCTGGTACTGTGGACTCCTATTCCATAGTCCTGTACTTTCCACTAGGATGGAGACTCCAGAAGAACAATTAAGCATGTTACAGACAAACAAAGAAGCCACACGTTTTGTATATTTGTATAATAATATGAGTAGAATTGAGACAATGGGGTTTGTTAAAATAATAATTCTCATTATAAAAAAGTAAAACAATATAGAAAAATACAAAGACAAAGCAAGCATCACTTAACCTGAAATACAGAGAGAACACTGTTATATAACTTGCTTTTTTAACACTCACTCCTTATATTGACATCTTCCCTTGCTGATAAATATGATTAAATGTATCTTTCCATGAAATATAGTAGACTAGATGTTCTATGAAACTCCTCCAGGGACGGTATGCCTCCAAATGATAGTGTGTGTGTGTATATGTATATATGTATGGAGAGAGAGAGAGAGAGAGAGAGAGAAAGAGAGAGAGAGAGACTGATAAACACACAGACACATATAGATATTCCCACCCCACCTTTAAAAATACATGAATGCATGGTTGAGTTGGCACAAAATAAGGGGAGTTTCTTATTTATTTATTTAGTTTAGAGAAAGGGTCTTGCTGTGTCACCCAGGCTGGAGTGCGATCAAAGCTTACTGCAACCTTGAACTCCTGGGTTCAAGTGATCCTCCCACCTCAGCCTCCTGAGTATCTAGGACTACAGGTACATAACAAAGAGAGGCATACTCACATGCCTGGCTAATGTTATTTTATTTATTTATTTATTTATTTTTTTTGAGACGGAGTTTCGCTCTTGTTACCCAGGCTGGAGTGCAATGGCACGATCTCGGCTCACCGCAACCTCCGCCTCCTGGGTTCAGGCAATTCTCCTGCCTCAGCCTCCTGAGTAGCTGGGATTACAGGCACGCGCCACCATGCCCAGCTAATTTTTTGTATTTTTAGTAGAGACGGGGTTTCACCATGTTGACCAGGATGGTCTCGATCTCTTGACCTCGTGATCCACCCGCCTCGGCCTCCCAAAGTGCTGGGATTACAGGCATGAGCCACCGCGCCCGGCCTTAATGTTATTATTTTTGTGGAGTTGAGGTCTTGCAGTGTTTCCTGGGCTGATCTTGAACTCCTGGGCTCAAGCATTCCTTCTTCCTGGTGTTGGGATTACAGGTATGAATCACCACACTCAGCCAAGGGGAATAAGAAACAACAACAACAACAAAACATTAAATGAAAAGAATAAGTGAGCTGTAGAGCTAGTCTTTGTCTTGGGGCCTAACTGGGTTTCAGTAGATAATATGGATCATATACATCAGAGACGGGAGATATAGTCCAGGGATCAAGCAGGTTGAATCCATATACAAAATTGGGACCGCTGAGGGGTGAAACTCTTGGTAGATGAACTAGAAAAACCATACTCAAAGGGTGAAAGAGAGTTGGTGAAGCTATTTGGTTGTCATCCTTGACTCTTGATGGAACAGAAGAAAAAAACAAAAGCCTTTCTCAAATTTGTAATCTTAAACTTAGACACCATTTGAAAATTTGAAGTCTCCTAGATTGGTACTATCCCTAGGGCTCATAAAACAGCAGCAACAAATCCCTCCAGACAGAACACACTTTAAACCCTGATCTCAGAGAATTCTCACAGATAAAGTTCCAGAGGATATGGACTTCACAATCAAAATTCAATGAACACATAAGTAAATAAATTACCTTGAGTGAGAACATCATGTTTCTGGAAGATTGTAATGACCTGGATTTACTTATCCAATATCAAATGCAAAATAAATATATTTAATTTGTTTATGAAATAAAAGAGAGTACTGAAAGTGTAATGAGGGAACAAAAGACTGAGAGTAACCTAGTTAGATATAATAAAGAAACAAACAGACCTTTTAGTAAAAGAAAATAAATGA